GCTAAAGTTTCGTCGGAACGAAGTTACGGAAAGTTAATTAACAAACGGAGACGTAACAATATTCTATTGGGTTGAGGTCAGGGCTCTGTGCTGGCCACGACAATGTTCTGATGTTATTCTCTTGAAACCACGCGTTCACAATCCTTGCTTTGTGACATGGAGCATTATCATGTTGGAAGGTGTAATAGCCGTTACCATAAAATTGCCACAATGTAGACACAGAATTGTTCAGTACATCAATGTAGGACTCAGCATTCACGAGAAGCACCCCAGACAATGATACTGCCACCTCCAAACTTCGCTGTTGTGACAACAAATTCTGGTAATAAGCATTCTCCACGCATCATCCATACCCAAACACATCCATCAGACTGGAAAAGCGTGACTCGTTGCTCCACAAGACTCATTTCCATTGATCCAGGTTAGGTGTGCCTTGCCTCATGCCAATCAACAATGTGCATTTGTTTTTGTTATCAACGGCTTGTGGGCTGCAGCTCTACCATGCAAATTCATGCAGCTCTCGATGTGTCATAGAAATACTTATAGGATTGCCTGTGGCTGCTCGCATCTCCAAACATAAATTCTCTAGCCTGATGTCGAGATGAGGTAACCAGCCTTCTCAAGGTGTGTCGGCTCCTGTCCGTCAGTATTTTACACCTACTTGGTCGTTTCTTAAGCTCATTGTCATCCGTGGACTTCCATTTCTTCAGAACGTTGCCAACTGTCGACCTGGGAATGTTTAATTGTTGTGCAATAGCACGTACAGACATTTTCCCTAAATGGCATCCAACTATCCTTCCCCTCTGAAACTCTGTTAGCTCTTTCTGCGTACTCATCGTTAGGCGTACAAATTCGAAATGACTTCCGAGTGAACCGCTGATCACCCTTATAGGCCAGACCATTTGCACAGTTCGTCGTCATACCCATTTTTCTTGCAATCAACTTGTTCTTTCGTTAGCACTTGTGTAAGTAAAAGTTCCAGCTGCAGAATCCCTGTATTTACGTGTAACGGTATCTACAAAATCTATGATAGCCAGAAAGTTTTCATTAGTGATGTTAGAATATCCCCTATTATGTGTCCATCCAAAGGAATATTCTGGCAGCCACAGAGTAATACTACAACAATAATGCTCTGTTGTTTTATAGAGCTGGCAACAACTCTTGTAGCGAGAACTTGATCAATTGCTGTTGTTATTTTTTTTTGTTTTGTTTTATTTCCTTCCATCACATCAATGAAACTTGCTGACTGAGGATTATTCATATTTGGTCAATTTCAAAAGGGCGTTTGTGAAATTTATCATAAGGCAACTGACGAGTACCCCAAAGTCATTGTCATCCTGACTTTCCCAAACACCGTGCTGGTATACGGTATTCTCTGTTTTGTCTGGCACTGAAGACAAACCATTGAAATTTATTAAACCAGTCAAATTAGAAGGGTTTATGTTTTCTATATTCTTTTCTGTATTCACAGCCAGGTTTGAAAATATCGCTGGAGAAGTTTGTATTTCTCTATGTCTGATTGGCCTAGTCTAACACTAATATCAGCGTCTTCTACTATATTTATGCCTATCTGGACACAGAGTGTTTCTAAAACAAATTTAGAGAGGCTATTCATTTCAGTATTATATATAAAAAAAAAAAAAATCAGTAGACTTACTAGTAGTCTCATATTTGTTTTGGTCGGATAATTAACATTTAAATTTACCAAACATTTTAATTTGGTGTGGCATTTTAGTAACTGAGCCATCGTTATTACGGGCCTAAAGGTACACGTTCTTGTAACCGTCCCACTAAACGTGTTCGACCTTTCAGTCGTGGGGGTGTTATAATGTTATGGTAAATCGCACTATTTGTTGGTAAAAAGAGAAGCACAAGAGTTGGCGGTGATGACTAATTGCCTTCCTTCTAGTTTTTCACTGCTACATTAGGGACGGCTAGCATAGATAGCACTTGCCATAAAACTTGAATTTATCGTTTGTTCATGAATCGGCTTTAGACGTTTTATCGTGTGGCTGTTCTGCAGAAGAAGAATCTTGATCCTTAGTGATTCTTTGCATAAGAGCCGAGAAATTCTGAACTGAGGCATCGTAGATAAAGTAAGGATGCACGGAGTATGGGTTATTCTAAACATGCCTTGTTATGATGGTGTCACTAGTTTACTGGGTAAAACCAGCACATATAAAAAAAGGAGAAATAATAAATACAGCAACGATGGAAGATGTAAAAAAAAAAAAGTCAATTTCTTTATTTTTTATAATTCATTGCAATGCCCTAGCGATTTCTTTTCCTATATTGATGCCCCCAGTGGTATGTCTGCGGACTTACAACGCTAGAAACCGGGTTTCGATACCCGTGGTGGGCAGAGCACAGATAGCCCTTGTGTAGCTTTGTGCATAATTAAAAATAAACCTATATTGATAATGAATCGAGAACAAAATTTTGTAATAGTCATTTTGTTAAGCTCAACCATGCAAATGAGTTCTGGTGTTTGAAATTATGGTACACGTACGCTTATAGTGATTGTCATCTAATATAACCTCAAATCTATATGGTCCGAGGCTGGATCTATGGAAACTAACATGGCTTGGAAACAAATAAAAAATAAGTGATGGTATTGTATCTAATATATTAGTAATTGTCATCTAATATAACCTCAAATCTATATGGTCCGAGGCTGGATCTATGGAAACTAACATGGCTTGGAAACAAATAAAAAATAAGTGATGGTATTGGATCTAATATATTAGTAATTGCAAACATACAAATTTCTAACAAATTATAAAAATAGCAAATTGTTAGACACATACGAATATTAAAGACCTTCTCGATAAAGAAAGACATGGTGCTCTAATCATCGTGAAATCAGTATATACTTTATGAAGCTTCGGTTCTTTTTGCTTCCTTTTTAAAAATCATTAAAGGTTGTGTGTGTGTGGGTGGGGGGGGTCTAAACAACAAGAAAACCACACTGAGAACATCAGTGTCAGAATAAAACATATGCAAAACAAATTAATAAGTGCAAAAATTAAGCCAACCCCATCTCTTTTTGCAGTTGCTGAAGAATTCCAACATAAAACATCATTTATTACAAAACATAGAATAAAAGAAGTTATTCAGTCTATACCTATTACCACTATTGCTGTACCAGCTGTTATTGAAGAACCTTCCTGTACTACTACAGCCATGATTACCTAATACCACTATTGCTGTACCAGCTGTTATTGTAGAACCTTCCTGTACTACTACAGCCATGATGCTACCAAATCCAGTTCCATAATTTAGGTGACAAATTCAACAACATCACCCATTGAGAAAGGTAACATGGGAGCATATCAGACTTGTTCGAAATAATTTCCAAAGCAGACAGGTAAGTAGTGACAACAAACAGTTCATCTTGCTACAAACTTAAAAGGACTAGCTTTAATGACATAAGTCAACCTGCTAGCCGATAACAATTGGTAGCTGCCTTATTCAACAGGTTTGGTGTGACAAACCAGAAAGAAATATCCAGAATAAAGTTCTGGAAGAGGGTATGGAGGGGGAAAAAAGACCTTAGACAAACTTATGGAAGATTTGAAAGTCTTGCCCAATTATCTTACCCACACACTGTATGTGAAATAGTGGATTTGTTGGCATTTGACCAATTTAAAAGTGCCATAACAGACGAGGATAAGAGAATTAGGTTGAAGAAAAGTAGGAGTACATTTTTTAAAGGAAGCTTTCTAGTTGGTGATGGAATTATCAGCCATTAAAATCACAAATAAACAACTAAAGGCACTATCTCGAAGTTATATGATCATCATATTGAGTAATATTGAAACATGAACTCACATTGATAATAGTCTAAAAGGATTAGTTAGACAACTAGTTACACAAAATGGATGAAATAAATCATAAGACGATAAATGTATTAAATGTAATTTGAAAGGACATATTCCCAACAATTGCAGACAAAAGCCTATTGTGAATAAAAACTCCTTCCAAAAGATGCCAGAAAGAGGGAACTATTATAGATGTGTGAAATCTGGCCTTTAGAGATGAGACTGTGAAGTTCCAGTAGCTCAATAAACTAAAGTAACAGTACTCCAAGGATAATTTTTCAACCCAACCAGATCAAAGGAAGAACGAAGGGTGATTCTTAAAGTGAAATTATCACAGACTGTATTGTAATAACAGAGTATAGAAGAATAATTCGTCTTGTCAATTATGTTCTAAAGTAACTGAACCAGCCTGTTTGGATTTTGACAAAAAAGAGTCAATTATTTAAAACTCTGGTAACCTACATTTGTAACGAACATTTGTATATACGTTTGATTTCTTTTTAATACATTATTTTTAAAACAAGCGAACTGTGTTGTTATTTGTTTATAGTGGAAATTTATCGTCAAAAAGTCACAGGCACCTACTGTAAAAAATCTGGCCATACAAAACCTAACAATGGCTAGCTCGCCAGAATCGTCAGTGGTAAACGGCAATAAAAGAAGACCCACACAACAGTGCCAAAGAGGTCTATATACACACAGCTGTAGTGGTGGCGAAATTATTGTTAGAGGTCACAACCACACAATATAACCATGCCAACTGAGTATGATAAGTGGATAGAGAGGGGCGAGTGACTTGGGCTCAAAGATGGTGATCTACAAGAGTTTGTTAAACAACAAGAAGACGTAGAGAGAAAAGAGCATCAACAGAAGAGAGACAGAGTTAGGAGAGACATAGAAGAGAGGAAAAAAGAGAAAACTAAAAGAAGAACATAAGCATGCAAACACAAGCCCAAAGAGAGAGAGAGAGAGGAGAGACAACAAATATAGAGAACAAAAGCACAAGTTGAGATTGCCAAGCTCACTCAACAGAAAGATGGAGGTCTCAAGAGCCAACACAAGCTGCCCAAATTCGAAGAACGGAAAGACAACATGGATGATTTCCTGGTGAGTATGAAAGATTCGCCGAAAGTCAGAACTATGTTAAACAAATGTTTAAACAACTCTATTCAATTATGTACCAGCTGCCTAGTGTCGGCTAACAATAGGAAG